CGCTTCTGGACTTTGTGCCTGAGGTGGGAAAAAAGGAAACTTTGATTTTGGGTTTCACTGATTGTATAGATGGTTAGTTTATACCGCTATGTAAAGGTAAAAAGTTGAGGATCGGTGTCACTTCTTATTCTACTGCACCAAAGGGAATCAAAACACAATGCCTTTTCTTTCTTTTTCCCTTCTCTACACTTTGCTCTTCCCTTTTCCCTCTCCCATATTTCCTATTACTTGCTTTTGTATTTCTGTATTTTATATTATGAACTAATAAAAAGCATTGTCAAAAAAAATCATAAAGACAAGAACACAGCATCTCTGGCACAGATTAGCGCTAAAGTCAGCTGTCCATGAGGCAGTCATGTTTCTTTGAAATACAGTTTTTGCTTCTCCTTTTAGGCCTTCCTAACTCAACTTAAGCGGGACACGGTGGCTCAGGGGCTAAGACACTGAGCTTGTCGATCAGAAGGTCGGCAGTTCAGCGGTTCGAATCCCTAGCGCCGCATAACGGAGTGAGCTCCCGTTACTTATCCCAGCTTCTGCTAACCTAGCAGTTCGAAAGCACGTAAAAAATGCAAGTAGAAAAATAGGGACCACTTTGGCGGGAAGGTAACAACGTTCCGTGCACCCTTGGCGTTTACTCATGCCGGCCACATTACCAGAGAGAACGTCTTCAGAGAGCGCTGGCTCTTCAGCTTTGAAACGAAGAGGAGCACCGCCCCCTAGAGTTGGGAACGACTAGCACACCTGTGCAAGGGGAACCTCTATCTTTACCTTAACTCAACTTGATAAGTTATCAACAAGGCTTTTAACTTCCTACCTGGTTCCTGGGACATGTTTGAGTCTGTAGATGGGCCGATCACAGATTCCACCCCTTTCGACCTTGAAATCTCTCTCCGGACATAAACCCTGCAAAAACAAAAAAGCCCCAAGGATCCACTTGTCACATTGAAAGAAAAATAAAACAGACCAGAACAGCAAGATAACATTGGCCACAACTTTTTAAAAACAGAAACAATAAATAAAGGGAAAAGTTAACATTTGCACTGCCTGCCCCCTGCTGAAGCTACCGGCTATTGCCCAGCTCCCTCGTAGCATTCAGCTGACTGTGGAAAAGAGAAGCCGAGTCAGCCTTGGATCACTGGGACGGCTGAGTACAGCGAATCCTCGACTGACGGCCACCCCTGAGAGCAGAATTTCTGTTGCTAAGCAAGGTTGTCCCAAAGGTACTTTTTTCAAAAGGAAACTGGGCTTGCAGGATTTTTTTTTCTTGAAAACGTTTTGCTTCTCATCCAAGACGCTTCTTCATGTCAATTCCTAACGTTGCCAGTGAGAGAAGGGAGGGGGGGAGTGCATTCCACGCATACTGTCGGCGGAAGTCGGATCTCAGATTACTGCAGCAGGCTTGGGAGGGGTGCACCTCATTGGGGAATGTGATTTATGACACAGACTGAGGGGAGGGAAGGAACAGGGGTAAAGTTCAGCCATAAATCAAACAAAGCCTAGACATGACTACGAAAAGATCTTGCCTATGGTGCTCCTAATAAATGACTAGTTTTGTATTGAAACTTGGCTCGATACTCATGAATCAATTAGGGCATTTTTAGGAAACCTGACACATGGGTTCTAACTGAATGGCGGGGAATGGATGGATTTATACTCTTTATATTCAAGTAAGCGGGTTGACGAGCGAGTCACAGTCGATCTTCTTGCCCTGGTCAAGTGAATCACTGTGTTGCTAAGTGAATCATCTACATGTTAAGTGGAGTCTGGCTTCCCCCGTGGACATTGCTTGTCAAGAGACCAGCTGGGAAGGTTGCAAACGGCAATCACATGTGTTAGGTAAGCTCCCCGTTGGGAGAGCGAGTAC